AATAGAAGTGTTTGTGAGTGATAAAAAAAAAAAAAAGTTGGAATAATTTAAAATGTGCTGAAAGAAAAAGGAAAAGAAAAAGTTGGCGATAAAGTAAAAAAGAAATTGCTGCCTTTGGCTATAAAAAAAAAAAAAAAAGGAAAGAAAGAAAAAAAAAATAATAATCTGATAGAAAAATATAGAGAAAGACGAATGAATATAAAGTTGAGAAGAATCGTTGTGAACTGTAAGGAGTTTATAAAACGTAGACTAGAATGCATCGGCACGTCGAAGACATTTCGATGTTCGTAACTTCTTGTGGGGGATCGAAGAAAACGTGGCCTCTTCGTAGAAAACTCAGACGCAAGGCAAATACCAATAATAAGAAAGGAAGAAAGAAAGAAAGAAAGAGAAAGAAAAAGAAAAAAATAAGTATATATATRTATACTACGTAACGAGCATCTGTCGATCGGTCGTTTGCCCATATCGCCGTTTATTAAACGTATAAAAGATGGAGTATGCAACCAAGCAAAAAACCTTATTTTAAACTTTCTTCATCTGACTCATTAATTCATTTTTTCAAAACTTTTTACGACGAATTGCTTTCCTTTTTTTTTTATCTAATTAATTTTAAAAGATTTTTTTTTTATATAATATATACAAAATATTTATATTGCAATACATTGTCAATGTTTTGTAAAATAAATTATAAGTGTATATATATGAGAATATCTTGTTCATAGTATAAATATATAATAATAGTTTAATAGTATTTCAATAAACATAATAATTGTTTTGTAATATTTTAAATGTATCAAAAATATATAATAAATTATAACTAGCTATATATATATAGTATAGTATATTATTAATAATATAGTACATTTATTATAATATAGTAATATACTATTTTAAATAATATAATAAATATTATAAATAATATACTATACTATATAGGTATAGAGTGTATTATATAGTATTTTAATACATCTACTTATATACTATAATTTAATAATATTTTAATAAATATAATAATTATTTTGTAATATTTTGTATTTATAATAATTTGTGACACTTTAGATACTTAATATTTATAATAGGAATATAATAATAATTCATTTAAAATACTAACTCACAATAAATATAACGATAAAATAATAAAATAGTAAACTCAAAAATATCTAATAATAATAATAATAATAATATTACAAATAAATGATTTCTTTTAGAAACTCATTGTGTTTTTTATTAATTTTATAGGGAAAAATAATTAGCCAAAAATATCGAATGAAAGAATAATTAATTTTGAAGATAATTTTATTAACTTTTGATCAACTATCGTATTAATATTTAATCGATTTATCGTTCGATAATATATATTAATGAAATTTAATTATCATTTCTATTATTCTACGTAGAATATTATTCTACAGAATACGAGTATTCAGTTCAATGATTTACTGCATGATCTTATGACCTTACTCGTCGTAAAAGAATACGAATAATTTCTTTAGAATCAATTAAGAAATATTTAAACGATCAATGAATAACAAATTTCCTCTTATCGCGTTAACAAAAAAAAAAAACTATTCAAACGTATTTAAATAAATATTCAATTAGTCAATGGGTTCTAAGAATTATCAATAAAACAATAATACGTTTCTCTAAATGTGCCGTGCCGCGTTTTCATCTCTAATCTCAATGATAATATTTTCTATCAAACAAAAGATTAAAAAAAAAAAAAAAAAAAAAACAAAGAAAATAAAGAAAAGTTTAGTTTACATAACTCTCGTGAAACTCGTAAGAACAAACATTTTCTCGACAAAAATATTGACGTAGAAAAACATTTTTCTATTAAATAATCACCTCCATATTGCAAGCAGAAAAAACTTGTAGAAAAAAAAAAGAAAAAAAAACAAGGAAAAGATGTTAAAAAGTTATAAATAAAAAAAAGAAAAAAGTGTGTCATCTATCAGATTATTAATCGAAGGTAAACATTCGTTATAATTAAAAAGAACAAAAGTCGAGATGTGAATAGTTGATTTTATTACGTAAATACTTCGTCATATTTCTCGTAGGTAGAATCGATTGAAAACAAGATGTTATATATGTGTTACAAAATGGTGTTCTTAGTCAATCGAATAAAAATCAATGCAATTCTACAATATATGTTCCCAATTCAAAACAAAAGTCATTTCAATCAATAATTTATGGATATGTATTAGTATTTATGCGTAAGACACATTCAAACTCACAGCATTTCTCAACCATTTTTGGATTAATTGACCTATAAAATCTGTTTTCTAAGACAATATAAAAAAAAAAAAAGAATATATTTCAGTGTATTTTAATGATACGTCTGGTTGGTAGGGTATATAAACTAGAACTTTCAGAAAATGTCTTACAAATTAATTAACTTTTCTTGCTTCTGGCGTAAGTTATTTACTTCCATTCCGTTTCCCATTAAAAGTTTGATGAGGCCTAATATTGGACGGTGGTTTCACAGATTGTGAGTCACTTGCTGTTAGACTAATTAATAATGATTTATAAAACTTCTATTTATGTAGTTAGTAATTTATAATCAAATATCATGTGTACATATTAATCTGTAACATTGATATATCAATATTCAAATGAATTTAAATCGAATGAAAATTCACGTAAATCAATATAAAAATTGTACAATAAAATATAAACGCGTTATTAAATGTTCTCGTTTAAATAAAAAAAAAAAAATAAAAAAAAAAAGAAGTGAGAATCGTTTAAAAAAAATATGACTATGGGGAGGATGATGATATGAAAAATTGGGGACAAAATAAGTAGACTATATATACCCTCGTTAAAAGAAACGTTTCTAAACGAACGGCATCATCTGAACGGGGCATATCACGATGCTCGGAAAAGGCGATTGAGGAAGAAGATTCCTCTAAAGAAACGAGCTCTGGATTCTCTCTTTCTCTATCTCTCATTCTTTCCCTTCTTTGTCGGTCCTTAAGAAAAGGATACCAGAAATACCTTTTTTACGAGTACAATCACCCCGAGAGATCGTCGAAGCCACGATCCGAAGAACGGCCAAAAAGGCTTTTCAAACGAGCGCTTCTATATCTTCTGAGAATACTTTTCTTCTTCTTCTCTTCTCTACTTCTTCTTCTTCTTCTTCTACTACTTTCCGTTGAATACACGAGTCGAATGGTACGAACGGTTGTACACAGAGAAACAAACAGGACAGAGAGACATAAACACACGTATAATCTTAAAGACGACGATGACGACTACGCGACGACGACACAAATACATGCGGGGATGAAGAAGACTATGGTTATATACGTATACTAGAGTAAATACTAACACACTAAACATATATGCATCGTATCACATTTACAGATATACATATATAGTGTTCATCGTTCTAGTTACGTAATCGGGCCAACGAGGCAGATAGATAAACAAACATTTCGTTCGAGTATTCAATTTCCGATATAATTTCCGAAACATGATCGATCGATCCTGCAGCATCAGAAAGAAAAATACGTACAGTAGGACAAGTGACAAGTGTATAAAGATAAGATCAATTCAATCATTTGAATATTGTTCTTTTTTCGCGGACTAATTTTTTCGCCATTTTAATTTACAATCAAAAACAACGCGCGCGAAATTTAAATATACGACAAGGGGGATAATCGATCCTGCAGCATCAGAAAGAAAAATACATATAATAGGACAAGCGACAAGCGTACAAATATAAGATCAATTCAATCATTTGAATATTGTTCTTTTTTCGCGGACTAATTTTTGCGCCATTTTGATTTACAATCGAATATAACGCGCGCGAAATTTAAACGTGCTGACGGGGGGTAATAATCGATTTATCGATGAGATATTATTTCTTTATTTCATCTTCTTTCATTGATTTACAGAAATAGATAGAAAATAATATTGAAATAAATCAAGGAACATTTTTCTTTTTCGATAAGAGTACATTTAACGACTAATCAATTAATGTCTACACATTTAAATAAATACAACATTTTAAAACGAGATAGAAGTAATAAAGTGCCGTTAAAAAACTGTCTCTTTCTATTACTCGTAGAAAGTTTTCCTGTAATAACAACGGAATGTAATATAACGTAAGCAAAACTTGATTCAACGAGGCATGTGTTATAACCTTCTCTTCGTAAAGAAAAAGAAAAAGAAAAAGAAAAAGAAAGAAAGAAAGAAAGAAAGAAATAAGAAAAGAAAAAGATGGATAGATAGACGAACGTCCTTGAAACGAGAGGCGTGGACAAGAAACGATTTCGAAAGATCGATGACCCTTTCTAAGAGAAATGAGAAAGAAAGAAAGAAAAGCAAGAAAGAAAGCAAGCAAGCGAGCTAATTAGATRGACAGAGAAATAGAACTAGAACTAGAAATAGAAATGGAAATAGAAAGAGAGAGAGAGAGAGAAGTTAGGTCAAGAAAGATCATTCGAGAATTCTCCGTTAGTCGATCAAGCTTGAAGGCTATTTAACATTCCCTGTTTGGAAAGGACGCACTTTAGGAATCACAGATGTCCGTTGGTTGGACCAAAACTAGCAACGCTAGTTTTCAAACTTGTTCCAACTAGTTCCCTTTACAATCTCTCTCTCTCTCTCTCTCTCTCACTCCTTCTTCTTCTATTAGATTGACATAGACAAAAAATGAAAACGCAATGTGTGTGTGTGTGTGTGTATGTTGGGTGTCGTAATTGGTCATAGAACGACGACGATATTATTTCATTGGTTATCTCTGACACGGTGCGAAGAAATAGGCGCGAAAACGCGAGAAGGGATGACAGCTCGCAGGAGAGACGGCAGCAAGTGGGTCAAGACCTCTCGGAAGGGAGGTAGAAGTAGAAGTAGAAGAGAAGTAGAGGTGGAGGGGAGGGGTGTAGGGAGGGGAGGAGAAGTTAGCACGGTGGACGGAAGGGACAGAAGGAGGAGGGTGGGTGGGAGGAGGGGAGGAGTCGTCGACCGATTCGATCTCTTTCTCTGTGGCGACTCACCTTCTCTTTCTCTCTCTCTCTCTTTCTCTTTCTCTTTTTCTCTCTATATCTATCTGTCTCTTTCTCTCTTTCTCTCTCTCTCTCCTTACTTCGACTTGGAGTCTGCGGTAACGGCTCGTAACGATTTGAAACGGGCGCACTGAGTCCGGCGCTCCATGCCTGACGTAGACGACGCACCGTGGGCCCAACGAGGAGCACCACCAACAGCAGCAACAGCAGAAGCAGAAGCAGCAGCAGCAGAAGCAGCAGCAGCAGTAGTAGAGCGGGCGCCGCACCACCACCACCACTACCACCACCACCACTACTACTACCTACTACTACTATTCCTTTTACTACTACTAATGTATAGGAGCACCACTACTACTAATTATATGAGGAGCACCAGCACGAGGAGCACTACTACTACTAAAATACTAATATACTTGGAGGGATCACCACTAACACCACTTACTGATGCCACCACCTACTACACACTCAACCCGACGACCGACCGACCGACGACCGATCTTCCAACCGATCCTCCGACCGCTGCTTAATCTCCTCCTCCTCCTCCTCCCCCTCCTTCTTCACCTCMTCCTCCACCTTCTATTCCTCCTCCCGTGTCACCGTCTCCCTCTTCTCTTCCTCCTCCTCTTATTCGTTGCCCTTCCTCTACGCGTGCGTGCGTACTGCGTGCCGACACCGTCACCGTCACCGTCGCCGCCGTACTCGTCCTTACCGTCTTCGTCTTCGTCTTCGTCTGCGTCGCCGTCGCCGTCGCCGTCGTGAATGATGTCGTTGTCTTCCTCCTTTTCCTTTTCCTAATTGTCCAAGTCTTCCTCGTATTAGTCGTTGTTATTGTCGTTGTCGTTTTCGTTCTTGTGTATCGTTACCGTCGTCGTCGAGATGTTCACCTTACTCGACGTACACTATTTTACACTGATCTATCAACTATATTTCTATCTATCTATCTATATATGTATGTATAATGTATATATATATGTATCTATCTATCTATCTATCTCTTTTTATCCTTCCTTTCTCTCTACCTCGTGTATGTTGTGTGTGCCTCTAGAAAACACCTCTTCCAATAGCTTTCCTTATTTTTCCAATGCTGTCAGCAAATATGCCGGACATTATCAGCCGTTACGTCCTCGACGTCGACGTGATATCGCGTAGCCTTCCTTCACAACGAAGATCACCGCGCGGAGGCGCGAAAAAATTAAAAAATTTCGTTAAAATACGGGCGGACCAGCCGTTAACACGGAGGACACGAAATTACACACGACCGGAGTACGCGGACGGCCAGCCGCGACGCTAGCGTCGACACGCGCGACGAGCGCGGCAATTGAGTGAGACAGTTGATGATCGAGGGAGAGGGAAAACGCATATCTAACACCATCTATCGAGTTTTTTTCGTAACTTTGATTATCTCTGTCGATAACGTCAATTTTTTACTATCGAGAATCGATATATTATATTCCGGGTCTTTTTCTTTTTTTTTTTTCGATTTTAATTTTTATTATTAATATTGTTGTAATAAAATTGATAAATAATTAATGTTTTCGAATAAATAAGTTCTTTGGAAAATTATCCTTTATTCATCATTTATATCCGGCAACTATCGTAATAGCATATCTAATGCACTTTTTACTTATATATATACATACATATATATATAATATATGCCACATTAGATTTTTTTTCTATAATCAACTAACATTCTTGGGAATGTAAAGAAGCGTATTTTTCGTATGCTAAAATTTGAAGTAATTTATCCTTATACGTTGGATCCAAGATATCCTGTAGTTTTTTTTCTATAGTAGGAACACAATCCCCATAGGAAGATATGAGTTTTCGAAAACTCGTTGCTTTCGTTAGATCCAAGTTTAGGTGAGAGGTCAACCAACGCAACGCATCTATCGGTAATGGACTGTCGAGGGAAATGCGTTTGGTTATCGTTTTTATGTATTCCACGCACGTATTTGACAATTGCACTGGCTCGTAGCAGTCGTAATTTTTACACTTGTTGAATACCTAATTGGAAAATGTGATTACAGTATTCAAATCTTATACAGGATTGCCTTGGGTAGACATTTGAATTTTTACTTACATCGGTCTCGTCCATTTCATAATTCATCTCTCCACACAACGAAATGCCCCAACAAAATAATGCAACCGCTGCAACGCTTGGATAATTAGTACCAACGATGTCACAGAATTGTTCGAAAAATATTTGAATCATCGAAGTAACACACTCCAATGAACCATTAGATTCTATTTTACAAACTAGCCGAGATGCATCTCTTCTTACTTCAACGTTATCATCAACTAGTAATTGCAGCACCGTTGTCCACCATTGCAACAACGGCACTAAAATATCAACCAAATTTTTTGTTGTTATTAAAAAAAAAAAAAAAACAACAACTATTCTTTAAATACTTACAATATTGTCGACAAGCGTCCGTATTTGTATAATAAAGTTCATACATTATTTCAAAAACGGATCTTCGAAAATCAACTTCTAAACTACTGATCCACAAATTCTGACAGAAATAACTATACACATCTTCTGTACATTTTATCGAAATTGTATCGTCCTAAAATCAAACGAATGCATACATATATACATGCACAAATAAATTATCCATATATTTTTACACATATTTAAAATAATGTCTACCTTTAACTCACAATGCAACGTGCAATAAGATTTGCCAAGTAATCTCAAATAACTGCTCCTTTCGCAATAAGTACTTTTTTTAGTATCAATTCTCATTTTGTTCAAGACTAGATTACAAATTTCTTGTTTGTCGTAAAGATCCTCCGTGGTCGATGATTTATCCATAAACATTAGGCTCGCATAAAGAAAATCAAAAATTGCATCCTGCAATTCAGGATTATATTTAGGTAGATAGGCCAAAGAATTACAAGCTACGTCGATTGCACGATCATTTAATAATCTTTTTTCATGTGGGCAAGTAGCACCATTTATAACTTCGATTATCGTAGTCCAAGCAATTGTTTGCAATTCGGGTTCAGGTACGCTTAATATATGTAGATGTATTCTAGCTGTAATATTAAGCATGTAATGTTGTCCTATAAAAACAATTAACTTAACAGCTGAAACTTTATAGATTTCTTGACTAGGTGCTTGCTTTAGGATATTGTGTTCTAAAACGTGTCGTTTTAATGTACTGGATATATTCAATAAAATTGAATCTATAATCCTAGAAAAAAAAGAAAAGAAACCTTTGTAATTTAAAAAGTACACAAAAAGTTATAGATAGTAGACTAATTAGATATCTCACATCTTATAATCCGCTTTGAGTAATTCATGAAGCGTATCTAAATAAGCGGTTGCTAATGGAAAGCAAACAGGGCCGTTGCTGTTTATTTCTAAGTTCCTTAAAATCCATATTGTACCTTCGAAAAATGAACTAAGCTCCAAAGGTGTTAACTTTTCTTTTATAGTTTTTATCCTTTTTATCATTTCTAGGATCTAATCAAAATAGTAACAAGATATGGATTATAAAAGAAAAAAATTAAATAATCGAATGGAACTTACCTGTAACATGTGTCCATGCATAGCATTTAATGATAAATGATTAACTTGTCCAGAAGCTACTATTTCAAACAATTTTCTAATAATATCAGTAGCATATGTTTCTGTCATCAGTGGTACGAGGGCTCTGGCTGCTAATTCGCGAGTTTTGCAGACAGGTGACTTCGCACATTGAGAAACTAAATGAATGAATTCGTCAATCTAAAATCACATGTATATCCTTACGTGTTTTTTCTTCGTAAATTAGATTTTTGTAATTTCTGTATTTTTTTTTTTTATTTTTTTTATTTTTTTTTTAAACAATATATAAAGACCTTCCAATTAAAATCTCCTTCATCTTGATTATAACTGAGATACAATCGTGACAATAATAATAGAATCGATTGTATGTTTGGTTTAATTAAACTCTCGTTGATAGATACGAAAGTTTGTAATTCGTCCAACATGAATGGTAGGAGACTGGGATATCTTTCGAAAAATATTTTACACGTCATTTTATTATCAGTGGTTAAATTGATATGATCTTTCGTTCTTTGCACACCGAAAATTCTAATGATCAGTGCACTGAACAAAAGAGTTGCTGCATTTCGTTCCTATGAAAAAAAAAAAAATAAATTATTTATTTTAATTATACGAGAAAAATAACAATGTTCTAAAATAAAAACAAATCTTACCGCCCAAGATTTGCCATCGTAATTTTTAAACGCCGCTATTAGACCATCGGCGATAAATGTTTTAACCAAATCACCCAATGGAGAATGTCTGAATAATGCTCTCAATATATTTAAAGCGTGGGTTTTAATTTCGGTAACTTGTATTTTATTATCTTCGGCTAAACTTTCGTTTATATCCGTTCTCGATAAGTCGATAAGATTTTCGAATTCCGAAAAAATAGTTTTGTCATAAACAACACGTTTTATATCTGTCCAAATATTTACATTATCTTCCAGTTCGGTGAATCCTAACAATATTTTCATTACGGAATGCAATGCCGAATTATTTGCATTATATTGAATCAGAGGTTCAGAAGAAACGAGTGCCTGTAAAAATAATTTAGATTCAATTATATTTTACGCATGAATTGGTTTAAAAAGAAAAGACATTTATGTTGGTCAGTTAACTTACTTGCACCATAAAAGGTACACCTGCGCTTCTCCTAGTCGCACATATTTTAAAATTACCAGGTAACAATCCAGTTATTGCTAATAAAATTTGATGTAACCAATGTTTAGGTACTTGATTTAAATTAGTATTTTCCATACGCCAAAGACGAGTGCATAATTGATTAAAACCGACGTATGCTTGTTCAAACGCACCACGGTGTTTAGTTTCGCTAAGAAGAGTGACTAGATGTTCTCCTATTTGGATAATCTAACGGGATCAAATCAAATATTATAATAATTAAACAATTGATTTATCTTAGAAATAATTATAACTTCATAAATCTTACTTGATTTTCGGTCAACAATTCTCCTGGCAAATTATGATTGGATATAGTTGATTTAATTGCCAAATGACCGAACAATAAGCTGATCTCTTTTACCGTACGCCACGAACAAAGTAGTATCATTTGTGGTGTTACTATCTCTTTATCTGGATTAAAAAATAAACCATTTATATTATTTGGATTTAAATCCATTGGCAAGTGTCCTTCGGGAGATGAACTGTTCACTATTATTGAAACAGCTTTGTTCAATTCAAAGCACATTGATATAAGCTTAGAAATGGTTTCTTGCCATAATTTTTCTCCACCTACAATACTGTATCGGATTTTAATAAATACAGTATAACAACATATTTTAACGAAATATATAAAGAATAAAAATCATTCATAATTACCTCAAATTACAATCGGATAATAAACTTCTCAAACAAAAGAGATATCCATAAAGAGAATATTTAGTAACTGCCATTACTATATTTTCCTTAGCTGCCATCAAAGACACCTTTAATATATAAATAATATTAATTATATAAATTAATAAGAAAAAATGTATAAATAATTAATTGAATAATATATAGAGTGTCCTGGTGATATAAACGAGTAGGTAGTGCACAAGTATTCAATAAATTGTTAAAAATCCTTGTATGAAATAAATTTGCTCGTTTGAATCACCAGTTATCAATGATTATGTATAATACATACCTCTAATTTTCTAATTAGAAATAATATTAATTGCAAAATATGAGATTCTGCGATTTCATCAGGAAAATCATTTATATTATAATGTTTGCTAAGCACTTGTTGTAACAAAGGCGACAACATACATACTTTAAACATATATGCTGCAGTTATACTATCTATTGGTCTAATGCTATTACCCAAATCAGTAGCAACATTGATTATTTCACAAATACGATTTTCTACATCCAAACCCAAGGTTATTGGACCGATAGATTTCAATATTCTAAAGGCCATTTCTTTGTTAGTTTCATACGTGTCTAATAACAAACACATAAAGATTTTTTCCGCTTGTTTCGAATTCCATGTAATATCGCGAAATTCTTGATCTAAAAATTCTAACATTATGCAAAGTATTTGCAAACAATTTTTTCTACGGGAATACGTAGCATCGGGATAAAGATTGTTGACGCATAAATCTCGTAAATTTAAAAAGAATCCATTATACATTGCTATTTCATGAGCAGCCTTAGACGAAGCTTCAGAATTATCTATCGTTACAGAAGGATTCAAAAGTTTCAATTTAAATTCTTGCGATATCGTTCTCTTCATAACATTTAAACTATCCTTTATTCTTTTTAAAGCCTGAAAAAGACAACACATTTATAGAATTTATAATTATTTTATTATTTATAAAAATAATATATATATATATATATATTTATAATTCTTACCTTTTTAATATAAGGTACATATATAAACTTTTCACCAAGATTATACATTAAAAACAAAAATATAATATCCAATTCGGCATTTGTAAATTTTAAGGTACTCTTCTTGGATTCAACGAGAAGGGCTAAGGCATCCAGCCTAACCTACATTCAATATATATATATACATTAATACTTAAACATTTACGTTCTATTCTATTGTATCAAATTGTATAATTGTATTAAAGAAATATTACGTACATCTTCGTTGCAATGTTTAACACATGTTTCCAACACATTGTAATCTATCGTATTCCTCCACTTATCACGTTGATTAATAAACTTTTCATGGTTATCCAATTCACCACTTCTCTTCGATACACGCAAATCGTTAAGTATTTTATTTAAATCCTGTTCAGTCATTTTTTACGTTTCATTTGATTACAAATCCAATATAATAATTCGTGGTTAGACAGCATGTATACCGAATCGCGTGTTTATTTTGGAACTTAATAATTATCGGAAATTTCTTAATGACACACTAGCGACATCTACTACGACCTTCTTCCTCCTTTCATCTAGGGATACTTTCATCCAGTCAGTAGTGACATCTACAACTTATTTAAAAAAAAAGGAACAAAAATTCGCGCCGTTGAATATCTGTAACAAAAAAAACAAAACAAAACAAGAAAATAAATTTAAAAAAAATACATTCTAATTTGATAAAAATTAAATCAAATCAATAATTAAAGTAAAAGAACGTTTTAATATTAATCTTACATTGAAATAATGTTAAATTAAATTTTAATAATTATTGTTTTAAAAACAATTCATTTTACCTCTAACAGTCTTCGATTATTTCGTTTAGAAATTTTACGAGTAAAATTTATGAGTAAAATTTAAACAAATAAAACAAAAACAAAAAAGAGAGAAAAAAAAAATACCAAAGTATACGAGAAAAATAATTCGAGCAGTGGCTTGGCGAATAAAATTCGCCTTTAAAGTTCTTTGAAGACTAATTTTAACCGCGCCAGTGACTTATTGTGTAACCGAGCGTATTTCTTTCTTTCTTTTTTCTTCTTTTTTCGTTTTATCTCTCTCTCTCTCTCTCTTTCTCTCTCTCTTTTTCTCTTCTTTTAAACCTCACTCATCTTTTACCATCTTTTATTTTTTTTATCCATCCCTTTAATTAGCAGCTTTTTCCAGTGTCTTCAACGTTTCCTCTTAAACTTTATATATTTCAACATTTATTAAATAATTGTCGAAAATTTGTTTGAAACATTGAGCTTATAAAAAGAAAGAGAAAAGAGAGAGAGAGAGAGAGACAGAGAGACGGAGAGATTTATCAAATGGGATTAATTAACACATTTATTAGCACGTAATATGTATTTTGTAAAAGCCATGGTTATTCGAGTATTATTTACTATATAAATATCAAATGATTTCAAGCAAATAGTAACACCCAGCTAATTAACAGAATAATTCGATATACATACACAAACACTTGCATATATAAACATGTACACACCAAATCTGTATAATATATAAATAAATAAGTGACATTTCATATCATAGATACATGTGTGTGTGTGTGTGTGTGTGTGTGTATGTGTGTGTGTATGCATTTCGATCGTAGAAATTTGTCCCGGTTTTACGTCGTGTAATCTAATTACACGTACACACAACAAACACATGTATATTCTCGTTTACCAAATAAATAGAAAAAATATTTTTGAATCTTTTAATATACATAATTATGTTTATTTCTGCATTATCCTTTTCTTTCTTTTTTATAAGTCTTAATTATCTTGTATATTTATAGTCGAATCATTAATTAAACTGAAAATAGTAGGTACGAAATGTCATTACGTTTTGCGTGACATTAAAACGAACGAAATTATGTTTATGTTTGCAAATCGCTTTCATCTTAGAACTCTTCTTTTTTTTTTTTTTTTTACACGGCCCGTTAGTTCAAAGAGAAGTCTTGTAAATGTAAAATATAGAGAAATATGTACAAGTTAAGAGAGATAGCAATAGAAAAAAGAGATAGTTTGCTCTTACACATTTTATACGAGTGTTCATTTTTCTTACTTAAAAGATTCGCTTTCATTTCGTTCTATTTTCTAAGGACCCTTTTTCCAAGGATGTAACTTTTCATTTCTTTTCTATCTCTCATATTTTTTCTTTTATTATTATTATTTTTTTTTTTTTATTTGTTTTTTTCTTTTTTAAATTCAAGTTTATATCGTATCACATTCTACTCTAGTTGGAAAATATTAAAATTATGCGAGAGAGTTTAATAAAAGCTAATCTTATCGATAGTTTTATTTTTAACTTGTGCATTTAAATCGTAACCGGTCTTTTAAAAAAAATTCATATATATATATATATATTTTTTTTTATAAACTAATGCAATATTGTTGTTGACAAAACGTTTGTAAAATGGGAATGAAATATATTTAAAATTTGTAAAAGAAAAAGACAAAGAGCATAATAAAGACTATATAATATAAATTTATATTATAAATATAAATTATAATACTATAATTGTATTTATATATTTTAATATATAATTTATATTTACAATAATAATAATAATAATAATAATAATAATATTTATTTTTATATATGTATATATTTATAATTATAATAATAGTAAAAATAATATATAACATTAAATGAAGAGAAATTTTAATTCAAAATTTATATAAACCTATTTATAATAAATATTATAAATTTTTTTTTTAAATATTTTTATTATAATACATAAATACAATTAATAAATAAATATATTAGATAAATAAAATTATATAATATTAAAATATTATATATATATTGTATATACTGGTATATATTTTTAACAAAAAGTTATATCGTATTTAATTTAAATGCAAATAAATATAATGCAATTATTTGAATAAAAGAATACTATTTTCTATATAAACTATAAAATTATATTTATAATTATAATAATTGTAGTAAAAGAAATAAAAAAAAACAAAAAACAAACAAATCAAATGAAAGAATTTTTATTTAATATATTACATATAAAAAGAGTCGAGAGTCAAACGTAAAACGCGTGCGTAAATTTTTAATGTTAAAAAAAAAAAAAAGAAGAAATGAAGGTGGACATTTTACGATTTGAATTCCAACGTTTTGCTTATCAAGCAAAAAATGATAAAGTTTATTTCACGCTTAAGAAAGAACGCACCTAACAAAGACAATGAATTATTATTACAAGGTACAACATAGTGGTTTTTATTTCGTTCCGCGTTTCTATATGTATTAGTTGGGGAGGGCAAAGATCGATCTTTTAGCTTGTTGCACAAGAGTCAGCTGTCGGGATCTTTCGTTGTTTTTAATTACGGATCTTCATGGGAAGGATCCCAGGGAATTTCCTAGCATTCTCTTCCTTCCTTTGGACAACAACTTCTTTTTCTTTTTCTACATTCTTTTATATACCATCTTTTTTTTTTTTTCTACTACTATTTCTTCTATTATCATCTAACCAAATGAACGGGCACACGCTCTCTTGAGAAACTTTCTTATTATACTGTTATGTGTGTAAGTAATCTATTCCTTGTAATAGAGTTAGAGGTAATCGTGTACTTTTATTTTCTTTTTTATTCTCTCTTTTATTTCATTTTATTTTATTTGCTTCTTTTTCTTCTTCTTCTTCTTCTTCTAATTCTCTTTTATAAATGATGAAGGTCACTTGATTAGACAAATGTCTTAATTAAAACAACGTTTCGCACCAAATGAAAAGAATCAGAAGAGATTGGAATTGAGATTAATCAGATTTATGGTTACCATATATTTCTACCGATCGTAGAATTTAAAATCCACGCATACGCACGCACACACATACACACATTTGTTGTTTATCGTAATAAAAAAATTAAAACGAATAATACTAATAAATTTTCCTACGATCTTTTTATCGCTGTTATATTAAATATAATAATAAACAAATATAATAATTTATAATTTTATATTACATTATATTATTTGTTTTATATTTATTATATATTTATGTATAACAATAATTATATATTTTAAATTTTAATTATATCAAATATAACATAAGATAGTGTAATTGTATTGTATTGTCCATACATATATAAATATATATAATTTTTAAAAAATTACGCGATCTTATGTATCAATATTTAAATAAACAATCGAAAAATAAATTTTCCTATAAATCTAAAATATCCTTAATCAAATTTAACAAGAAACATTGACAAAGTAGTTTCTTAAAAAGAACAAAATATTTCTTCATTTTTTGATATAAAAAAAAAAAAAATAAAAATAAGATATATATCAAGCCTATTACAGAACATAAATTATTTTGACAGATAAAATCTATCAAAAAAATATTTCGTACCAAAACCAACCCTTAAAGGTATTCATTTTTTTTTCTTCTTACAAATATACCTGTACATTTTTCTTGAAATTTACGTAATAATTCAAAAACTTATGGGTCGATAAGTGTTGCACCTGTTATAAGAATAAATGGGAAACATTGTAACAAGGAAAAATTCGTGTTTTTTTTTTTTTTTTCTAAAAAAAACGTTTTAAAACGAATAATATATATATATATATTTTTTTTTTCAAACAAATCAGTGAAATCCAACATGTTGTGTGAAATACACCCTGTATATTAGATTAACGAGACTTGGTCCATGGGTACTGGTACACTTCATCCATGGTATAGCATCGAACGAGTACAATTCTCTCTCTTTCTCTCTCACATACTCTCTGACACTCTCATTCACTTCATCTCTCTCAAAGCACAGGATATCGGACATAAAGTCCAAGCCCCTCTTGACGCGTTCAACGGAGAATTGCCTGACACACGTAAATAACCCGAGAATCGTCTACTAATTCAATTTGCTTCCTCTCCCCCCTCTCCCACTCTTCTCCCTCCTGTCAAATCCAATTAACGGGACGAGTCACAAGGCTTCCAACGGCAATCGGGAAACTCCAGGGCAATTAAATCCAAAAAGTACTTTGTTGTCAAAAAAAAATACTACTTTTGATATTTGAGTATGTTTTGCTAAGAAAAAGACAGAAAAACAAAATAAAAAGATGAATCCCATTCAGAAAACAATTCAGGAAAAACAAATGCGTAAGCATGAATATGGATATGTAATACAAAGAAAAAATAAATAAATATACGAATAAACGATAACAATTATTTTCTGTTTTTTTTTTTTATTTTTTTATTTATTTATTTACTTTTTTTTTTTTTAAGACTTGTTTTGACATAGCAAATAAATCCGTATGAACGTTTGCAATCTTTGACAACGCAGTATCTATTGATTTTACCAATTTCTTTTTTTTTTATCCTGAATCTTTTGTTATCTTAACTTTTAATTATTCGTATATTTATAAATAATTTCGTTATTTAGTCAACAAAATCTATATATAAATATAGATTTCATTTGTGCCCAATTGATAATCTCCAAAAGTACTTTACCAATTGTATTGAAATTTTGACACAACGTTGCATTTGCATACAACTAGCTTTCTATTACATTAATT